AGCACATGGCTTTTGAATTCTATGGGTCCCGAAGACGGACAGCGGGAGGTAGGAGCCGATCTTTGGACCGAAGGCTGGCGGGAGGACTGCGAGCGAGAAGGAGTACAATGGCGAAAATAAAGGAGAGAAAGATTGAGCGCGGGCATGACCAAAGAGTTTGCGGACTGCCAAGGTTTAATGACGACATTGAACGCGGGAAATAAGTAGTAACAAGGGAGCACGGACAAGCGCTAGAGGCTTGGTGTTACGCATAGTGAAAGCAGCTCGAAAACTCCGCTGCAATCGGCAGGTCGTATCTCCAGTTAACTATTCGCGCGCTCCGTAAAAATCGGTTTTTCTTTCCACTACAGATTATTTGTTCTTTTTCGCCGAATTTTAAATTCGGCTACCGCTACCGACTACTTACTCTTGTTTTAATTCGTCATTGTTATGTCATTATTGCCATTAAATTCTACAGACTCAAGTGAAGCCAATAAAATTAAGCATTCAAACTTGTAAATAAACACGAGAAATAGTTGTATTTTTTCTTTCTTTTATTTTTTTAAAGGCTCATTTTGCTATAAGTATCAGATTCGTTCGCTCTTTGTCCACAGAGACTTACCGCGAGGATCTTTGTTGTCATGGAAGATCAACAGCGTTAGCATGGCAACGCATCACATTTTGTATAACACTTTTGTTTACAATTTCTAGCAAAGATTATGCTCTATGACAATTGATTTCTTTTTTTTAACCATCGCTCATATACATAATAAATAAATAAAAATAGTTGTATGCACTCGTTTTGTAATAAAACTGTTTTATGAAATTCATTCATATCATCCATAAACGTTCACACAATAGAAGATTCAATATTTTATCCCTTAAAACTGAAGCAGATTGATGTCTAGTGCTCTAGTGAATCGCGTTTAGTATTCAAGCGCTAGCTGAGTTCTCGAGAAGGAAAATAAAAAAAATAGAAGGAAAAAAGTAGCTGATAATTTCGCATGCGCGGATTTGAGATGGATGTACAGCTTGCTGCGGCAGCACATTTGCGTGCATGAAAGTTTTAACCAATGTTTTACGGCGCTGCTTTTTGTTTCGTACTATTTTATTGAACTTCATGCACATACAGATATACCCATTGGCTTCACGTCAATCTCGTGATATTCGAGCTTTGAGCTTATACTCCCTCTCTGTCTTTCAACGCTTTCGCTTCATTTTTCGCAACGTGGACTTGCATTTTTATGCGATGCGCAGGGGGGAGTGCGCGTACTCTTCTGTTTTTTCGCTTTCAATGTTTCAGCGATTTTCTATGCTGCTGCTGCCAGTTCTTCCGAGATGTAAAACGACGGATAGAGTATAGCTTTTTACAACGTAATGCGCTTTGTGTCGTGTATAAGAAGGAACCTCGATCTGTCAGGGGACAAACAACGTATTAACGCTATAGTTCCCGGTCATAAATATGGTCTTCGAATTCTTTTATTTTATTATATGCACACTGCTTTATGGTACCAATCGAGAAAATGTGTTACCTGAGAATATATATTTTCTGATTTTCATCGCACAGCGGCATAACATTTATGTTTATTGAAAGTTTTATAAGTGATTCGAAATAGCCAATTTGAATATTCCAAGGAATCCTATTTTGGATTTTCTTCATTGTTGTACTGTTATGTTTTGTATACCAAACAATGTAGGATTTTCTTTGAAGTAGAATTTTGGCAGTCGCTTTTGTCTCATAATATACATAGTTAATAATATAATATCTTTGGAAAATTTTATCCTAGAGTAAAATAATATTTAGGAATTTCGTGTTTCAGAATCTCAATTACAACTTCAAAATATTTCTGAAGTTAAATTTATGCTATTTTCTGTGGTAATAAAGAACGTGTAAAATTTGATTATATTGGCTTGAAAAAATTTGGAAAGTTTATTTTATAAAAAGCAAATATAGTACATAATATATTTTTGCCATCGTTAACGAAGATATTGGCTATAATAAGCTTTGTTTTTTCATGATTTACGCAAGACAATCTGCTGTCGACGTGGCACTTTAATAAATCGAGCGGAAAAAAACGATGAGTTTATGAAGGTCATATAATCGATGATAAATCACTAGCGGGAGGCACAATTTTTATACTTATCTATAAATATCAATGTAATACTTCATAACAAGTTTAATTATCTTGGCTGAAAATTTTCTCAAGCTGTCATTTATGACTTTTATATTATAAGAACAGATGTTAATTATTATTACTAGCTAGTACTCAATAAATCTGAACATTTGAAATAATTATATCATCGCCTCATAGAAACAACCAAAATTAAATTTTCAAATGAAAAGAGCTCCGCGGAACATTGTCTTTTGTTGTTCTTACAAACGAAATTTTTCTAATTTTGAAGATAAAATGTCGCCTCTGGAAATTATACGTATAAACTTAATTAGCCTCTCCCGGCGCACCGGTTATGATAGCAATTTCATTTAGCCAAGAGAACACGCGGCATAATTTCACGCCAAACATCCTTGCATCTCATGCGACTCGCCTCTCTAAATTGTCGAAATTATGCAAAAAAGGGTTCTCTAGACGTGAGTTACAGTACGTGAACAATAGCTCGACGCAGTCAAAGCTAAGTTTTGAAAAAAGAAAAATTGAAAAAATTAATATATTTACTTTACGTTTAGTAAACGAAAATTATTATGACTTTACAAAGTTATTAAATCAATCTAATGTCATATACAACAGAGATTAATGATTTAAATAAAATTTATCTAAATCCTTTTTCATTTGATGAATTAACATTTTCACAGTAAAAGCATTATAATATTAAATAAAAGAAAATCTTTATCTTGAAATGGAATAATTCATCCGCGAGCACTCGTAAGTACAGGATGACGAGCAAAATAAAAAGCCTTCTCCACTTGAAATATGAAAGCACGACAAATAAGTAAATCCCTCAAAGCGCTCATCTCTCGTTCAAGCAGCAAAAGAAGAAGAAGCAGAAGAAGAAGAAGAAGAAGAAGAAGAAGAAAAAGAATCCTCGGCTAGAAGAAAAAATTAATAATGGCGAACATCGCTGTCGTCTCTCACTCGCTCTCTCTCTCTCTCTTCCTCGTGGAAGTCAGAAATGTGATTAAGCATCAACTCCAAATGCTGCTTTTCTCTACATCTTTTCCCCGCCGAAAGAATGTAATTACTCGCAAGGATCAAAGTCAGCGAAAGACGTCTCGTCGTTGAATTTAAATATCGACTCACGAAATATCGTGGCAACGGGGAAAGCAAGTTTCGCATACAGGCTTATACTGCTGTTTGCCTCGTGTTGGCAATCAAGCGCGCAACGCTCGATATTCAATTGTACGTCGCGTTGAATGAATTCCAGTTACTTTGAAACTACCTAGTGAAAGAGAGAGAGAGAGGAAGAGAGAGATCTGCATAAATGTCGCTTGATTGCTTGATATTGGACTTTCGGCCCAAGGAACCTAGCTTTGGGAGCGAGTTGTATCGAGTTTTGGGATAATTTCGGCTGACACAATTCAAATATAAATCTGAATACCGAAAACTGCCGTTCAACAATTTCACTTAGTCAATAAGCGTTATGCATATTTCATTCAATCATATTTGTCTTGTTTAAGTGCACATCTACCATTTCAGTAGCATATCAACAAAAATATATTATATAATGGGTCAAGAAGCTTCATGGACCATTTGATAAATTAGAATTTGGATTGTCCGTGCAACTATTTGCAATTAGATTCGGATCACGGGAAACAAAATTCACTTGCGATCCTCAAATTAACGGCGAGTGAGGAAATGCAATTTGCTTCACGTGCGCATTTGATTCACACGTGCAGCTCTGAGAAGATAAGCTTGCGCTTACCAACAAAACACGCAACATCACATCCGAAACGCTCAAAAGGCCAGCGTCGTAGTGTTGAGACGTGCCACGCTCATTATCTTAAATGATTTGTACTATTCTGTCTTATCTCATCTACTACTTTTTTTAACTACTGTATTTTTACAAGTCAACGTTCATGACGTAGAAAACAGATGAAAACTCTTTGATAAGGGTGAGGTGAGCAGGAAATAATCGTATGAGTTTTCTTAGTTTTTTTTTTATTATTTAGTTTACAATTATTAAATTCCCGAGAGCAAGAATGAGCGACTTGCGCGCTTGCTGGCTGGACCAACAGTGCTGGTTCTTTCCTGCTCTGCCTCGCTCGGCGGAAACCTTCCGCAAGAGGCGCTACAGGTTTTCGGCAAGCAATTAACCGAAGATACGATCTGCCAGCAGTCACACATGTCGCTCAAACTTTTACAGCGCTATATATCTTATTTAATACCCTACTTATCTAATGGTTCATGCGTCGCGCATATGGTTGTCGCTTGGGTCGCAGCACGCTTGCCGAACAAAGGATTTTCGAAACCAATCGCGGAAACCTTCTACGCTCAGTCCGGACGCGAGTTTCTTCGTTTGCCCCTCCATTCGATCTTTCGCCCTCACTCTCGCTTATCCGCTCCCTTGTCCGCTTGCCTGCCGGTCTAGGGTAACATGTAATTACCCTTCCCGTATTTACGCAACTTGCGTAACGCTGATTGTTGCTCAATTCTTTAGCCTCCAGGAGATAACTCCTCAAAGCTGATGGGGCATCACGGCCACGAGTACGCCTTCCAAGCGCTCGCGCACGTCCATGAGCAGGACAAGGAGCGGCAAAAAGACGAGGCACATATTCAACATCCCGGTTCATTAATTGTAAACAACCGCGCACGAACTCGAGAACGGCTTACGACGCAGGGCTTCGAAGAACCTAAAAGGAATATGATGGGACACGTCTGCGTCACACGTGGCTCGCACTCGTTCATTAACGCTATCGTCACCGAGATCGCTCGAACTCCCGCCCCTCACAACCTTCACGCGCTGGTCAAATTTTATTACTTTTTCCAAAATTTTTCGTTTACGCCTCTCGAATACGGTTTGAAGATTTTACTTTCGGCGTTTCTTACAACCTCCCCCCAGGCTACAATTCATTCAATTTTAGACTCAGTCGGGCTAAATATTTTAATAAGTTTATGCACCGGACGAACAAACTCTTTCTTTCTTACGCGTACTTTAGCTACTCTAGTCACGTTATCGGAATTGTTTGTAAAGACTTCCGTAATCCTTCCCTTATTCCAAACGTTACGAGGGGTTTGAAAATCAACAATTAAAACATAGTCTCCAACCTGAAGTGGCGGCGTTAGTTTGTGCCACTTTTTTCGCGGAAGTAGTGTTGGCAAATATTCGCGTAGCCATCGGTCCCAAAACTTTTTTGCGAGATTCTGCGCTATTTCGAAAGTTTTACGCGGGTTCGAAATCTCACTTTCGAAACGTTCTAGTCGCAGATAGCCCGACGAAGAACCGAGAAGGAAATGGTTAGGTGTCAAAGCTTCCTTATCTCGTGGATCAACCGAAACGTGTGTGAGCGGGCGCGAATTTATCATGTGCTCAATTTCAATTAATAATGTCGACAAAACTTCTTCGAAAGGAGCTTGATCGCCCAACGCGTGATAAAGAGCCGTTTTGACCGATCGAATCAATCGCTCCCACGCTCCTCCCATGTGTGGAGCATCGGGAGGATTAAAGCGCCATCGAAAACGTTTTTTCGCTGCGAACTGTTGCAAATCTTCAGGTTTTATCGCTACTACCGCGTCATCTAACTCTTTACGCGCTTTGACAAAATTAGTGGCATTGTCACTGTACATCACCTGAGGGCAGCCGCGCCTTCCTGCTAGTCGTTCTATCGCTAAAATTGTTGAACTCGCGCTCAAAGTGTTCGCTAGCTCCACATGTATCGCTCGAGTCGACATACATGTGAAGAGTACGCCCCATCGTTTCTCTCGGCGACGCCCGATCTTCACGAACATTGGCCCGAAGTAGTCGATTCCACAATGTGTGAAGGGCCGTTGATAGTATGCGGTACGGCACTTTGGCAAATCTGCCATTGGTGGGTTTACTGGTCGCGCTCGACGCATTCGACAAATTAAACACCGCATTGCAAGACTCCTCAATCGCGTCCGTAGGCCAACGATATAAAATTGCTGTCGCAACTCATTTATCACGGTTTCGTTGTTCTGATGGTCAAACCGACGGTGAAATTCGTGAATTAACAATTTCGTTGCAAAATGACTCGCGTCCAAAATTATCGGCTGGTTTTGATACCATGCAGACGAAACTTTCGACGTACGACCCCTAGCTCTAAGTATCCCTTCTTGATCGACGAACGCGTTGAGTCCAATCAACTTACTTCCTCGTAGTATTGGCTTACTCTTCTGAATCAACTCAAGTTCAAGAGGAAAGTAAGTTGCTTGAATGTCACGATACCAAAACTTTTCGGCGTGTGAAATTCTATCTTCCGGCGATTTACCTTCGACGCATGCTAAAGGTTGAATTAAACGATGTCGTTTCAGTGTGAGAGATTTCTCACGGATTTTTAACGCGTTTTGACGCCAGATAAAAAATATCTTGCGCACACATTCGGCTATCTTTCTAATGCTAACCCACCCCATAATTCTACTTCTAACTGAAACAATGCATTTTTCTGGGTCGTTTAAGAAAATTGCGCCTATAAATTGTTTACGTGACTCCAACTCTCTGATTTCGCGTACTTCCTTTTCTTGCAAGGCCTTTTGCTTTGGCCACGAATCCGGAAGGCTGCGAAGCCAGTCCGGGCCAACCAGCCAACGGTCTGTGGAACGCATCGGTTCGCTTGTTGTTCGCGTCGCGTCGTCGGCCGGGTTTAGTCGAGATGGTACCCAGCGCCACTCTGATGTTTTCGTTAAACCACCGATCTCGGAAAGACGATTTGCGACGAACATTTGTTTTTCTCTGGGATTCGCACGGATCCACTGTAACACGGTGGTAGAATCCGACCAGAAAATTCTCTCATTCACCACGGCGTCGAGTTCCTTAATTATGTTTGATGCTAAACGAGCTCCTAATAGCGCTGCCTGTAATTCAGCACGCGGTACGGTCATCGGTTTTAAAGGGAGGACGCGCGCTTTCGCCATAATCAAGAAAATTTGAATTCGACGGTCGCTAGTTTCTAAACGCAAATAGCCAACCGTTGCGTAAGCTTTTAAACTCGCGTCACAAAACACATGTAATTGAACGTTTTTATATTCACTTAGAGGAAACATACAACGCGGAATTTTGCAATGTTTAATTTCCGAAAGATTCCTCAACCACGTCTCCCAAAGTTCTCCTTCTTCCTCGCGAATCCTTCCGTCCCACTTTACACCGCTGCGACAAATATCTTGCATAAGGAATCTCGCCTGCAAAGTAAACGGAGAAAGGATGCCGAGCGGATCGTAGACCGACATTACCACGCTATAAAATTCCCGCTTCGTTGGTTTAACCGAGCCCGTCAATAACTTATCGCGAATTTTCTTCAGTCCAACGTTGAAACTCAACATGTCGTTATTACGATCCCAGTACAAACCCAGAACTCTCTCTTCTTCATCGCAGAGACTTACTTTCCCATCTTTTCCCAATTGATTTTCCCTGCGAACGTCTTCGACAACGCGCGAATCATTGGACGCCCATCCGTGCATTTCCAAACTCGCTTCACTGTTAATGGCAATCACGTCTCGAATTTGCTTACGCATTTCGTTTACATATTTCCCGGAAACTAAGAAATCGTCCATGTAACTATTCCTTTTGATGCTAGCCGCGGCCTCGGGTTTCCAGTTTGCGAATCTCTCTGCGTTCAAATTTTTAACATAAATTGCGCTACACGGTGATGACTTTGAACCGAAAAATAAACTTGTATTTTCATAGATGTCCGGTTCTCGATTTCGGTCTTTGTTACGCCATAAAAATCGTTGCGCTCCTCTGTCCGATTCGATTATTTTAACGCGCAAATACATGTCCTTAATATCTGCTTTAACTGCAATCGAATACTGTCTAAATCTCAATAAGACCCCTATTAATGACTCTAATAAATCCGGCCCGGTTTCTAGTTGATCATTTAAAGACACTCCCCCCGTTTTCGCGGCCGCGTCGAATACCAATCGCACTTTATTAGGCTTGTTAATATTTTCAACGCCGAAATGAGGGACATACCAGATCCGCGGTCTACGCAAGTCTTTCGAGACTTTCACTACGTATTTATTATCAATTAAACGTTGCATTTCCCGATAATAAAGTGATGCGAACGCAGGGTTTCGATCTAGCTTCCGCTCGAGTGAATGAAGTCTTTTAAGCGCCGTCGCTTTACTATCTATATCCGGTATAGAATCCGACTTCCACAATAGACCCGTTTCCCACTGTTTGCCAATTTTACGTGTTGTCATTCGTAAAATGTTTATCGCCCTTTCCTCTTGATCCTTTTTTATACTGGTCGCAGCTACACCCAAATTTTCTAACTCAAAATATTGGTGAATTAGCCGATCTAAATTTGCCAAGCTATTCTGTTCCGAGCTTTCCGACGGATTCGAGATAGAAAGCATTGCATGTACATTAGAGTTTACTCTCACAATTTTACTTTGTTCTATGTAACCATGCACCGTCCAACCTAACTCGGATCGCGAAACGATAAGGCCGCTGTCTTTTACTATCCGAGACTCCTGCACTTCAAGAAACTGCCAATTGTCTTGGCCGATTAGAATGAGAGGGCGCGCATTGAAATACGTTTTCACGTTGATCCCCGTCCTATGCTCTACGTATTGCGAAAGTTCATTACAAAATGATTGGATTGGTAAGTCTAAGTTCGATACCGCTAGTGCGTGCGCGATTTTCTTAACACCAAATTCCCCTTCCACGTCAAAACTCAATCGTTCACACTTAGCGTTCATTTCCCCACTCCACACGCCTCGAATCGACATTTTCATTTGTACTCCGCGCAAACCAAGTTTCCGAGCAAACTCTTTCTCAATTACTGTAATAGTCGACCCTCCATCAAGCAATGCATACGTAGTCCTCGAAATATTTTCGCCTCTTACAGTAACCGGTATGATGCGCAATACCCCTTTCCTTGAACCTAGTCATGCGTTTTCGCTCCCGTGTGCGCGATTGTTTGCAGGCGAACGTCCCCGTCGGTCGTCTCGTCGCTCCCGATTTCTATTATCATCACTCGGCTGATTTCCGCCCCTGTTGTTCCTGAAGAAATGCAACAATGTATGGTGGTGTTTTCGACACACATTACAAGTAACCTGTGACTCGCATTGCCGACGAGAATGCCCGCTCTCGAGACACTTAAAACAAAGGCGCATTCGTTTGACTAAAAACCAGCGCCGATCTGTTGTTTCATTTTTTAAATCCCGACACTCCGATACCTTATGCCCTTTTCGGCTACAATGCATGCACCTATCATTTTCAATTATTTTATCCCGCCGATCATCCCCGTGTTCCTCATGTACTGCCGCGCACACGACAGCCGTTCTCGAGTATTTCTCCTGCCTTCCATATACCTTTGATCGTTTATCGCCGCTAGTAGCTATACTTTCTTCAATGTCGAAAATATCAGATCGCAGCACTAAATCAGATTCTCTATTCAAGAACTTTGACAATTTTTCTAAAGACGTAAGATCGGTCATTAAATCCGAATTTTCATCAGCAAAATGGCTATACATAGTTTTCAAGTTATCAGGAATTTTATTTATTACGCTTTTCCATAAATCTGAGCTAGTCAATCTATCATTTAATTTCATCGATTTTAACGCTGAAATACCATGAGACAATTTAGTTGCGAAAACAGCTAGAGAACATTTTTCCGACTTTAAACACGGCAAACAGTTTAATTCTTTCATTATTTCTTTCGCAATTAGTCGACTATTTCCGTAATGTTTTTCCAACGTACTCATAACCGATGCCGGATTATCTGCGCAGCTTAAATATATTCCAACTAACGAAGCTGCCTTGCCTTTCAGAGCTTTCTTTAAACGACCTATGTTGCAACGGTCACTGAATTTTGCTGCGGATTCTTCATAAGTCTTTTTAAAATGTGGCCAGTCTAACGGGTCACCTCTAAATTCCGGCAACTTCCTAACGGAATCTAGAGATTCTACACGCAAACTTCCCTGTATACTCTCTTCGCGAAACGCACGCAACGCATCGACCAGCGTATTAGATAACAAATGGAACGGATTTTCAGGCGCACCCATATGGTCGTTGCTTAGCTCACCAGTTACGCTACCTCTACTTCTGCCGAAGTCGTCGTCGTCGTTAGCGCTGCTGTTGAATCTTCCTCTCGCTCGGTTGGGAGTTTCGGTCTGCTGTGCGACGGAGATGATGGTGTCGACGTCGACCGGGTAGTCGGGTAGGGGACGCTGTCGTTGAGAGGAACTATGATGAACAGACGTCAGTTGTTGCTGCACCTGCTGCTGCTGTGACTGCGGCTGCAGTTGCTGAAGCTGCTGTTGTTGTGCCGGTGCTTGCTCTCGACCATGAATATTAGGACTTGATTGCAGGCCAGAGCGTGTAACCCTCATCGTAGAATTCGCTGACGGTGCTACGATGTTGTTGAGATTTTGTCTTTCAGGCTGTGATGGTGCAGGCTGCTGTCGTGCGCGTCGTTTTACTGGCGGTGGTGTCGCAGGCTGCTGCGTTGTACGGCGTTTTCTTGGTGCCATTGTAGATAACACACACTTTCGACAAGTTCGTAAAAAGACACACAGATACTCAAACTATTCCTGTTCAAATTTACGATTTTCCTCACCCGGGGCACCAATTGATAAGGGTGAGGTGAGCAGGAAATAATCGTATGAGTTTTCTTAGTTTTTTTTTATTATTTAGTTTACAATTATTAAATTCCCGAGAGCAAGAATGAGCGACTTGCGCGCTTGCTGGCTGGACCAACAGTGCTGGTTCTTTCCTGCTCTGCCTCGCTCGGCGGAAACCTTCCGCAAGAGGCGCTACAGGTTTTCGGCAAGCAATTAACCGAAGATACGATCTGCCAGCAGTCACACATGTCGCTCAAACTTTTACAGCGCTATATATCTTATTTAATACCCTACTTATCTAATGGTTCATGCGTCGCGCATATGGTTGTCGCTTGGGTCGCAGCACGCTTGCCGAACAAAGGATTTTCGAAACCAATCGCGGAAACCTTCTACGCTCAGTCCGGACGCGAGTTTCTTCGTTTGCCCCTCCATTCGATCTTTCGCCCTCACTCTCGCTTATCCGCTCCCTTGTCCGCTTGCCTGCCGGTCTAGGGTAACATGTAATTACCCTTCCCGTATTTACGCAACTTGCGTAACGCTGATTGTTGCTCAATTCTTTAGCCTCCAGGAGATAACTCCTCAAAGCTGATGGGGCATCACGGCCACGAGTACGCCTTCCAAGCGCTCGCGCACGTCCATGAGCAGGACAAGGAGCGGCAAAAAGACGAGGCACATATTCAACATCCCGGTTCATTAATTGTAAACAACCGCGCACGAACTCGAGAACGGCTTACGACGCAGGGCTTCGAAGAACCTAAAAGGAATATGATGGGACACGTCTGCGTCACACGTGGCTCGCACTCGTTCATTAACGCTATCGTCACCGAGATCGCTCGAACTCCCGCCCCTCACAACCTT